AATGCTTGCTAAATCAATATGGCATAATTGTGAAATATAATTTAAGCAATTAAGGCTACTTAAAGCCTCTAGTTTTAGCTTACCTGGCCCAAAGGGCCAGTGTGAGCTATTGTCATCACTTTGAGTCTATTGTCTGTTGTCCATGGTTATCGTCCTCGTCTGTTGCTGATAAATCTATTCCAAAAATCTTCTCATCATCTGAAACTACTGGCCAAAATGGAACCAAACTTGGCCACAATTATCCTTGGGGTATCTTGTTTAAAACATGTGTCTGGTGAACCCGCCTGCCAACCAACATGGCCACCAAGGCTAAAAATAGAGCATAGGGTTAAAATACACATTGTTTTTTTTTTGTCAACCGTTATAAATACAGAAAATCTAACATGAACAAAAATGTTGCGATCTACCCACACTGAGACCAAAACTGTCAAAGGTTCCTTATAAGAGTTATCATCCTTAAATGAATTGTTTTCCTATTTTCTTGAAAATAGAGAGAGAGTATTTAACTTCAAATAGCAAAAGTGATCAGCAAGACAAGATCTACTAATAAGCCAACATGGCTGAATTGTCAGGCAACTCTAATATAAGATCATTGTACTTAAATGGTGATGTTTACGAATTTATTTTTGAATTTTGCCTATCATCTTGAAACCTTTAGTAGAATACTAGATAGAGATAAATTTATATAGGAAAAATGATAACCGAGATTTTTTTTATAAATCAACATGGTGAAATTGTCAGTAAACTCAATATAGGAGTTATGCAGCACTTAAATGGGGATTTCCACCCATTTTTTGCATTTTGGCAAAAACTTGTAGTAAGAGAAACTTTTTAACAGAAAAAATTATCAGTAAGACAATATCTTCAAATAAGTCACAAAACTGAAATTGTCAGTTCACTCCTTATAGGAGTAATTTTTATAAGCCTGTTTACTGGACGTATTATGGTATTAACCGTTGTCCGTCCGTCCAACATCAACATGTTGGACAATAACTCAAAAACGCTTTAATCAATTTGCTTGAAACTTTGGTGAATTGTTTATATCTATTGACGTGAGCTCCCTTTCAATTTTTATTAATTTTAGATTTTACTTTTCCGAGTTATTGGGTTTTATTCATTAAAAAGGGGGATTTTCCAGTTTTCTGACAATAACTCAAAAATGCTTTGAGCAGTTTTCATGCAACTTTTGTGAATTGTTTATATCTATTGACGTAAGCTCTCTTTCCATTTTTATAACTTTTAGATTTTACGTTTTCAAGTTATGGGATTTTATTCATAAAAAAGGGGGGATTTTCCAGTTTTTGGACAATGAATGAAAAGTGCTTTCAGCAGTTTCATGAAACTTTGATGACTGGTTTATATCTATTAAAATAACCTCCCTTTAGTTTTGTATGAATTTCTGATATGTCATTGAGGAGTTATGGAACTGTATTCTTTGAAAAAGCGACGGGGTATCATGCACTCATGGCGCAGTTCTTTATTTTTTATTTTGGGCAAAAACTGTTGAATAGTAGAGAAAAACTGTAAACAAAATAATCAGCAATATAAAAATCAACAAATATAAAGAATTTCGGTCAATGAATTATATTCTTAGAGTCTATAATGTTTGAAAGTGGCCATTGGTGAAGATGTACAAAAATCCAGGTGAGCAAGCCTTTATGAGTATCTCTGTACTGCTGCAGCTGTCTTACATAAGTAAAAGTCATGATTTTTCCTCTTTTAATTAAATATTTGTATTAGAAAAAGGGAAGGGGTGAAATAGTTTTTAATTTATTATCGGATCAAAGGTTGCTTGTTTCAGCTATTCCTGACAGCAGTTAGGTGTTATTCTGGTTGCAAATCAATATTTCCACGATATATTTAAACAGGTGTAAATCAATGCTAATTTTCACACTTTATAAATGACGATCCTCTTTTGAGTGGTGAAAGGTTATTTAACACAATATATCCTTACATTTTTACATTTTTTTCTGCCAAAATAACATCCATAATTCTTACATTTTACCAGAACTATGGCAATATTATTATCGTAAATAACATGATTTCCATAGTTGCAATAAAAAGTGATAATTTATTGATTTTTAATATTACAAAACATAGAAATATATATGATCTGGCTTCTTTTCCTTCATTGAGAAAAGAACAAAATATATACAGGGATAGTTATATGTCAGTATCAGGTAAGTTAATATTGATTTGAAGAAGTGAGTGGAGTTTTTAACATTTTGTCAGATTTAAAAAAAAAGTTTTTCTTATAATTCATGTAATTATAGGGAAAAACACCTGTTCAAAATGCATCTTTAATTTTGAATACCCATTGACCAAACATTCAAGTTTGTAGATCAAATTTTATTCAGGTAATATACCGGTACATTTGTATCAAGATATTGTTGTATTATGTAGATTGACACTGACCACAATAAATCTGTCCTTATATTCCTCTAATCTACTATGGCCACATCAACCTCATAAGTAGGAGAGATTGTTTATGGGGAGGGACAGAATTATTCAGAGTTCAATTGAAACCGGTTACACTGAATCTTCTACTTCTACTATTACGCAGCTACCATTAATAAACTGATTATTTTGCCACTTGTGGATCCGCATGTAAATATTTTAGATAAATAATGTGAAGATTTGTGCTATACATTCTATATACAGTGAGATTAAAAACATCCTGAACGTTGGTCTAGATGGTCTCATGTAGGTGAGTCTTGAAACATTCTAGACTACCTGCACTGGTGGTGGTAAGTGGTAGTATGTTCCAGTCCCTTCTTGAATAGGACGATTCTTTCCTCACTTCTGTTCTACACGAGGAACTTGGAAACTGTTTATATTTTAGTTACGGGATAGTCTGTCTGGTGGAGTGAGTGTGTTTTCTGTATTAACATTAACCGTCCCGTTGGTAAGTTTGTACATCATTGTATTAAGTCTTGATGCTTTTCTCCGATCTTCAAGGGTCACTAACAGATGAGGTGTTGTGATCTAAATGGGTTGCCATCTTAGATCTGTTGCTTCTTATATAAATCCATATCTGACATGATGATTATAATTTTATAGATGAGCTAATTGAAACATTTTATTTTATTTTTAATCATGTTAAAGTGATTAGTTGATGATAATAAGACATCTAGAGGTTACTGGAAAATCTTATTTGTTAGACAATTGTCCATACCATTTGTCTAGCTCTAAATAATTCTCAGAAATTGTTTAAAAATTCAAGAAAAAGTATGCTAGAATAACTGTCATTGAGTGCCAAAGTTCCCTTTTTCCTATAAACCATTTTCATTTCTATTGATTTCAAATAACTTTAAAGAAAAATTTTGTAACTAGCTATTTCTTTGAGCAAGAATTAATTTTCCTACAATATTTTCCAACTAGAAAAGTCACATATTTAGCTATCACTAGACCATTTTGAATTTTAGATTTGATATTCCTGTTGATTTAGCTGATTACAGTCCTTTTCGCAACTGTTATATATATTCAAATAGATAGATAATGTAACATTGCATTAAAGTTTTTACAAAATAATTTCCCTTGAAAGTAATAAAAACTTCTATAATGGATTTAGGGGATTTCCAGAAAAAAGATGCAGAAGATAACCAAGTGAACAATAAAAAATCATAAGTCAAAGAAGAATAAATAACATCATGTTCATGATGAAAAAATGTCAACAAAACACCACATAGAAAACTAAAAAAACAGCAACACAAACTGCACCAAAAATCAGGGATGACCTCAGGTGCTCCGGAATGGTAAGCTCCACACATTGTACCTGCCATGTGCTCATGTTTGAAAAAGGCACACTGTATTAGTCTGTTCCTTTGCTATTTGTGTCTTTTGCTGTGCAGTGTGCACATACTGATTTTGTGTCATGGATGGATGATCCCATATCCTTTCTTTTCTATTATGTACATGTATACCCAATTCAAAAGTATCATTATACATGTATTTCAATTTTTGTAAAGATTTTTCTTGACTGAACATGCCTTTTCTAGCAGATATTACATCTTCTTGTATAATAGATCATTTTATCCTCTCGTGTGATTAAACTGTAGGGTTCAGTCCTCAGTGTGGTTGTCCGTGTAAGTAAGCTGCTAACCATCTACAAGTACATGTATATGATTGACTTTAGACTAAGCTGCTTGTTGGTTTCCTAAGCTGGCAAATCTGACCCCTGAAACATTTAACAAGATTATATGAAGCTGTATTCGAACCTAAACAGACCCACACATTTTTGATTATTTTTCAACTTTTGCCATGATTACAAAATATACACATTTAGAAAATAATGTTTTAAATGTTGTGATTGAAGTGATGTAATTAGTTATAAGTTATAAGGGATATGTTGTGTTCACATGCATACCCATAGTTCAGCATTGTAACTGTCTGTCAGGCTAAACTTTACAATTGTCTTTGACCCACTCATAATTTCCAAGTGATATCCGTAAAAAAAGAAAGTTAGAACGTTACTTACACAGAGCAACATTACATTTTCAATACATCTATAGGTATTTATCAGTTTTTAACTTGGGACTTAACTTATGTTTGCTGTACATAAAAAGATTGAATGACGTAAAAGGATTGATGTAAACAATGCTTTTGTAAGCTTCATATGGACCACCAGTAGAAAGAATTAAGTAAAATGTAATGTATTTGTATTTTGGCTTTAACATTAATGGTTTGTAACAATAACTTGCTGTATGAAGTAGATAGTCTAAAGAAAACTATATTTGTCATTCCATGGTTGACATCACATTCATATTGAAAATGTTACAAAGATGTTTAATTGTGTTGTCATTCTGACTGGGTTCAACAACAGAAACTTATATTATTATTTACTTAAGCTTGCTAAATAATTATAAAGTGATTTTGTCAAACCTTTAAATGTTTTTATATAGAGATATATTTTCTCTGATGAATTCTTCAATTTAAATTCTTGAGAACTCAATCAATGTTAGGTAAGCTTTCAGACCATTAAATAGGAAATAACCCAATTATTCAACATTTAAATGTCTTGATGATCTTAATAAAAATGGTGAATATATAAACTGGAGTTACCATGGTCCATTTGGATGTGTTTTTGCTTGGGGTAATGGTATGTCAGTTATTTTATCTTTGTTATTCAAGAGTTCACATATGTGTGGGATTTTTTTACAATGTATAGGCCATGCATAGAAATATGTTTCTGTACTACATGATGATTATATAGAGCTTATTTCTTTACTTTTTTTTATTTCTTATTGTTATATTTTAGTACATTGTATTATAGTCAAAATGTTGATTATTTGTATAAAGTAGTAGAAAAGTTAATGGGCATGTATGAAGATTTCCTGTCTAATTGAATGATTGATTGAAGATTCCGTCCATTTGTAATAAAAATGTTGGTTAATTGATTGATAATTAGTTGTTTAACACTGCATAAGCAAATGTTATCATTGTTTAGCCCTGGGCAATATTGAGCTTGAAATGTTTGATAGGTGATGATGATGGATGGCTGCTTAAATTATTCTGACTCTGAGCTGACCAGTCTTTGCTCTTACTCCCTAATGCAGAGTGCTTAGCGGAGAAGCAGCATATACCAATTTTAAAGTCTTCAGTGTGACCCGGCCAGGGTTCTAACCCACGACCTCCCGCACTCGAGCCAAACACATCACCACGAGACCAACGAGGTGGTGCATTTTGAAAGTGCCTTCCCCGGGTTTGAAAGAGCTGTAATTATTGATGGCATGTAGATGACTCAAATGTTTGTTTGGGTTTATTTTTTTGTCGTTGGGGGCTTTCTCGTTTGTGCATACTACCCAAATCTTTTACTTATCCTTATTGACCAGTTCTCATTCTACACATGAGCTGCTTCTGATAGAAATGTACCTTGTACAAGTGCATGTATACATGTACATGTATAAGACTTTGATTGGTTTTGGAACATTTAATATACGAAATGAAAGATGAATTGTGATCTGTTTTGTAAGGTTCTTATATCAACTCAATTTTCAACCAGTTACAGACTTTGCATAGAGATTTTTTCAACCCAAAATAAGTTCATGAAACGTTCCCCGCATGCATAATGTAAATTGTTATTTCTGTTTGTTATTAATAAGTCTATAAATAATAGATTAGGTTAAATCCAGTAAAACTTTATTTGTATAAGATTGCTATCTCGTTTCCTTGTTTGTATTCTCATGTATTGCCAACTATTATGTTATCATCATATATATAGCTTCCTGTATTTTAATATCATGGGATTAAATTAAACTAATGACAGGTGGAAACATTAATTTTCATGGGGTTTAAATTTCATGGTTTCCTCCACAGGCACTTGTCTTAGAATTTTTTCAACATTATACCTTGTAAAGAGGTTAAACATGAATTCAGAGACAAGTGCCTGTGGTTTTCTCTAAATTTGATTTCATGTATTATGGGGATAGATTTTTTGTGGTTTCCATTATGTGCGAGTGATATTGTTATGAAGGATTTTCAGCTTTATTTTGTGTATAACAAAGTATATAATAAATAGGGTAATCTGAAAAAATCACAGTCATGATCAGTAAAGCAGTCAAGTCATTTCAGCATGTGCACTCTTGTGAACTGTTTTTGTAAATGATCCTTTGTCTTTTGGTACCAGTATATGCTAAGAAACTTAAATTTAAGCTTGTCTATTCCCTATTACTCATTTCATGTGATGAATAGATAAAACATATTACAAGTTCATACAGAGACTAGCTCTTCCCTCAGTAGCATCTTTTGTATCCTTTTAAAGGCATTGCAGCATCAGAATATCTTTGGTGTTAATATTAGCCATTGTAAAAAAATGAAAACAACTAGTTATAAATTTCATGCGCCAGAAGCACTTTTCTGGATTTACCTTCATCAAGAACGCTCAAAGCCGAATGTTTGAAAGCCAAGGATGTATAAGAACCGAAACAATTGAAGATCTATATAACCATAAGGACCTAAAAAAAATAGCCAAATCCATTGTAAATTAGCAATTCGTTATGATAAATAAACATGGTTAAAGGACCATTGAAGTTGTCAGATCAACATAAGTAAAATGAGAAGATGATTTATTTACTTATAAATAAGAAATGATTGTATACATGATGTGATAATACATCAATTCAGACAGCAACACAACAACACAATAAAAATCAAAAAAGCTTTTAACAATACTCATGAGTCATGATGTATGTTTGCTTTGTCCTACTCCATATATCCCCTTTTCACAATTTTATGAAAATTTATTACAGCTGTCTAAGTCTCATCTAACATACCATAAATACAACAATAACCAATATTATACCACATTATGTCATGTAAAATGTATTGAATAAATGGATTAATATTACTTAGGGAATAAAAAAACAACATGTTACTAATATCCTTGAAACTGACTGTTTATCATATTGGGTTGGCCTTAAGACGAATTACATCATAAGAAAGAAAGACATTGTTTCTTAAGAAGATTTAATTATAGAAGCACACTGTTATATAGTTGTTATATATTGTATTTTTTTCTATTAACAGATAACTGTTAGTAATATGAAAGGGAAAGAATAAGACTTACAGCACATAAGGTAAATTTATGTTATTGAAATATTACTATAAGACCAGGCATTAGAATACACCTTATCGCTATTTGTCCGCCATTACTGGACTTCACACAAGTTCCCGTAAAATTTTGACGTCACAATAGAAAACATCTGACGCCACAATGGAAAAGTGATTGTTGTATGACGTCAAAAGTTCGAGCGGGACAGATTCTCGGGTCAAGCGGGAATAGCGATAAGGTGTATACTTTTGTTAACCTGACTGACTTTTTGAAGTTCAATATAAATAAAGGAGGTGTTGGGTATATGTCAATGAGAAAGCAACCAACAACACATATGTACAAGATACCAGTAGAATCTAGAGGTAAACATGAGGTCTTCAGCAATAGACCGGTGTACATGTACATACAATATGTCCAGCTTAAAAATCACCCAGAGTCTAGAAAAAAAGTGTGAGTAAATTTAACAGAGACTATCAAAACATCTGAAATATAGCCAAAATCATGAAAATGATCCATTAAAAACACCTAAGAAAGAAAAAGTCATTTTTTATGAAACTTTTGTCTATGGGAAGGCCTTAAATATAATTTGAAAAAAATACATCTTGAGTTTAGTGTGACATCCATTTTGCTGAACTAGTATACATTATTGTTTAAGGGCCAGCTTAAGGCCTCTGGGTGCAGGATTTTCTTGCTGCGTTGAAGACAAATGCTGGCCTTGGGCTGTTTTCTGCTCTTTTGTCAGGTTGTTGTCTCTTTGACACATTCCCCGTTTCCATTGTCAATTCTATTCTACCTAAATTTTAAATTGTAAGTGTCAAAATAAAAAAAGAGTAACTGTTTTTGACGTCAATCTAAATTCATTAATCATTGTGTTAATTACTCTCAAGTCTGGAAAAATTTGTTCATCCTGCAAGTTCTTTCAACTGATGATAACAGATGAACAAAATAAGGATAAAATCAGAAATAGCCTATAAAGATAGTATCCATGAAAACAGATTGTCTCTTAAGACAAGTTCCACTAAACTGTAGTACTTCTCCAAACAAAAATACATTATTAGTAGACTTGGACATGAAATATCTATGAAATAGCAGGATTTTGTCTAGCCATGAAAATTTATATTACTCCAATGAATAAGAACTTACACTCTATTGAAAAATTCATTATGAATGCAAAGCAATCAGAAAAATCACAATTGTAATGTAACCACAGAAATCAATCACATTCTGGACTATTTACAAGTATATGTCTCTTAAATGTTAAGCTTTTCCCCATTGCCTAATCATTTCCTTTTGTACAACTAGAAATTGCATACACACAATATCAGTTTTGTTGCAAATGCATTTAGTTTTGTAATTATTTGTTTTCAAAATACATTTCTCATGGGACTGCTTTCAATGTTTTCTACTTTTGACTTTTCTGCAGCTAAAGGGACTTGAAACTGCACATTACCAATATAATTGATAGGTAATTAAAAATTCACTTACTATATATCAGGAAAACTTAAAAGAGGATTACCCAAAATAATTTCATTGTCAGAGTTCATGCATGCAGAGGTCAAATGTTCAGGTAAAAACTTTGCTAGTAGGTTGTCAAGATTTGAAAACTAAGGTCTCAAGATTTGGGAGCCACAGGTTGAAGGTCAAGATAATAATATTAAGCAATAGATAAACAGTCATTTAACTTATTTTTGATAGGGATAGGATGTTCAATTATTTTGTGGTGCCCTTGCTTACCTTTTTCCTTTTAAAGCAGATCAAGTTATTAAACCATGTATATTTTGATTGTCACGCTTTTATACATTTGAAGTTCTTTGATATTGAAAAATGAGATGGTACTGTCTACTAGTAATTTGTAGATTGTAGTCTCTTTAGCGTTATTGCAGGATGGTAATGTACCAGTATAGATTACTTCAACCTATAACAACTACAGTAGAGAAGCAAAACTCACTTCTGTCATTTTCAAAAAATGGGGAGTTGTCATATTAAGTCTACTAGTATACAATAGATTTTGTTAGTTTCCTGCGCAAAGTTCGTGTTTAAATGGTTCACTTGCCCAAGGTTGGTCTTTAACCCTTTGTATTCTACTGATTTCATTTGCCCAAGGTTGGTGTTAAACATATTGCATTCTGATTTCATTTGCCCAAGGTTGGTGTTAAACATATTGCATTCTGATTTCGTTTGCCCAAGGTTGGTGTTTTATCCATTGCATTCTGATTTCTCTTGCCCAAGGTTGGTGTTTAACCCATTACATTCTGATTTCACTTGTCCAAGGTTGGTATTTAACCCATTGCATTCTGATTTCACTTGCCTAAGGTTGGTCTTTAACCCTTTGAATTCTACTGATTTCATTTGCCCAAGGTTGGTGTTTAACCCATTGCATTCTGATTTCTCTTGCCCAAGGTTGGTGTTTAACCTATTGAATTCTGATTTCACTTGCCTAAGGTTGGTCTTTTACCCATTGCATTTTACTGATTTCATTGCCTAAGGTCGTTGTTTAACCCATTGCATTCTGATTTCACTTGCCTAAGGTTGGTCTTTTACCCATTGCATTCTACTGATTTCATTGCCCAAGGTTGGTGTTTAACCCATTGCATTCTGATTTCATTTGCCCAAGGTTAGTATTTATCCCTTTGCATTCTGATTTCTCTTGCCCAAGGTTGGTGTTTAACCTATTGAATTCTGATTTCACTTGCCTAAGGTTGGTGTTAAACCTATTGCATTCTGATTTCTCTCACCCAAGGTTGCTGTTTTACTCATTGAATTCAGATTTCATTTGCCCAAGGTTGGTGTTTAACCCATTGCATTCTGATTGCATTTGCCTGAGGTTGGTATTTAACCCTTTGCATTCTGATTTCACTTGCCTAAGATTGGTATTAACCCATTGCACTGATCATGCAATTAAATTTTAAGTGTACCAAATTTAAACATATCATTGTCTGATTATAAATTTAGAAATTATTGTGAAACTAAGGTTTCAACTCCCTCAGGCAAAGTTGACCTTAGTTGGGTTTGGCTATTATTTTTATGTCCTTTTCATACAACCACAAATTTTTATGCCCCACCTAGGGGCATTATGTTTTTCGGTTTGTTTGTTTGTTTGTCCGTCCCTGCGTCCATCTGTCATGCTTCAGGTTAAAGCTATTGGTCAAGGTAGTTTTTATACGCCGTTTTATGGGACGTATTATGGTATACCGTTGTCCGTCGTCAACATGTCGGACATTAACTCAAAAACGCTTTACCCAATTTGCATAAAACTTTGGTGAATTGTATATATCTATTGACGTGAGCTCCCTTTCGTTTTTCATAAATTTAAGATTTTACGTATTCAAGAAATGGGGTTTTATTCATTAAAAAAGGGTTTTTTTCCAGTTTTCGGACAATAACTCAAAAATGCTTTCTCCAATTTGCAAGAAACTTTGGTCAATTGTTTTAATCTATTGACATGAGCTCCCTTTTGGTTTTTATAAAGTTTAGATTTTGCGTTTCTGAGTTATGTGGTTTTATTCATTAAAAAAAGGGGGATTTTCCAGTTTTCTGACAATAACTCAAAAATACTTTCAGCAGTTCTCATGAAACTTTGGTGAATTGCTAATATCCATTGATGTAAGCTCCCTTTTGATTTTAAGAAATTTTAGATTTTACGTTTCGGAGTTATGGGAATTTCTGATATGACATTGAGAAGTTATTTAATTGTTTATAGTCTGACAACAGATTTACTAAGTATTGCACAATAGCACAGTGTATTGCACAACAGCAAGAAATCTTTAATTGAATATAAATTCAATTCATATAACCAATTTCAAGTTCTTTGATTACATTTATTCAGAAACCTATAATATATCAAATATTTAATTACAATCCAAATTCAGACCTGTATCAAGCTTGAATATTGTGTCCATTTTTGCCCCAACTGTTCAGGGTTGGACCTCTGCGGGTGTATCCAGCTGCGCTCAACGAAGCAGTTTATTGATGAAGTTGAAGTCCAATCAACTTGAAACTTAGTACACATGTTCCCTATGATATGATCTTTCTAATTTTAATGCCAAATTAGAGTTTTGACCACAACTTCACAGTCCACTGAACATAGAAAATGGTAGTGCGAGTGGGGCATCCGTGTACTATGGACATATTGTTGTTTACATTTGTATAATGTTATCACGTTGTCAGCTTCGTTGTTGTTGTCGTCCAAAAACATTTGGTTTCCAGACAATAACTATAGTAGAAATGTATGGATCTCTATGAAATTGTACCGCGAGGTTTCATACCACAACAGGAAGGTTAGGATTGATTTTGGGTGTTATTGTCCTAACTGTTTAGGAAGTAGGGGCCAAAAAATGACCATAAAAACTAGGATTTTCTTGTTTCAGGAGAATAAATTGTGTAAAAGTGTATGGATCTCTGTGAAATTGTTACTCAAGGTTCCATACTTCAAAAGGAAGGTTGGGACTATTTTTGGGGGCTATGGCCCATACTGTTTACGAATTAGGGTCCTATAAGGGGCCATAAAAACTAGGATTTTCGTGTTTCCGGACAATAACTTGAGTATAAATCTATGAATCTCTAAGAAATTGTACCACAAGCTTCCATACCAAAAAGGAAGGTTGGGAATGATTTTTTGGGTTATAGCCCTAACCGTTTGGGGAAAAAAAAAAAAAAAGCTGTATCTAATCATGTATTTAGATTTTTTATTTTGGGCCCAGTTTTCAAATTGGTCCAAATTGAGGTCCAAAATTAAACTTTGTTTAATTTCAACAAAAATTGAATTTATGGGGTTCTTTCATATGCTGAATCTAACGGTGTATTTAGATTTTGGCTTTTTGGCCCCATTATCAAATTGGTCCACACTGAGGTCCAAAGGATCCTAAATTAAACTTTTTTTGATTTCATCAAAAATTGATTCTTGGGGATCTTTGATATGCTGAATCTAACCATGTATTTAGATTTTGGATATTGGACCATACAAGTTAAAAGTCCAATTTCAAATTTTTAATTTCTTAGACAACATTCGTTCTGTGTCAGAAACCC